GGGGGAAGTGAGCCGGCAAGAATGGAAGAGTAGAGGAAGAAGGGGGTGCGCCCGAAGGCGCGGCCACTTGTGAGCGTGGGGGTGGCTGAAGGCGTAAGAGGGCGAGGTCGGCCTGGGTCTGGGCAAGCTCGTCCTCGGGATGTCGAACGTAGATCGAGCGAGGATTGGTAGGAGGAAGAGTGGGGGAAGTGGACGCACGAGCGGCGCGGGGCATCCCACAGGGGGGAGAGCCAGGTGGCGTTGCGGTCGTGCGAAGGGGAGGGAGAAGCGGGGCACCGGGAAAAGTTGAGACCACGGTAGCGGGTTGTGGTCCCGTGGCCGTAGTGGCCGAAAACTGGGCGGGTGCACCCGTAGAGTGAGGGAGGGCCTGGCCCGTGGCGACCGTCATGCTAGGAGCGTGGACGGTCACCAGGATGGCCGGGTCGGGGGCGGCGGAGGAGGAAGCTCCGCCGTGGCCACCATATCGGAGGACGGGGGACCCGGACTGGGAGCCAGGGGAAGAGAGAGAGTGGGGAGAGGAAGGACGACCAGCGTCCTGGAGTTGCCGCAGGCCAGCGGCAAGAGTCGCCATTTGCGCCTGTAAGGGCACAAGGAGGGAGGTGATGAGGGTGTGCAGATCCCCCTAGGGCTGGTGGCCCTGGTCCGTCGGCACGGGTGTGGAGCCTGATGCCTAGGTCGTCGCCGCCTCGGCGACTTGTGACACGCCGTCGGCCATGGGGAGGTAGCGGGCCGGACTAGGGAGGGCCGGAGGAGGTCCGCGTGAGTGGAGGGCCGGAGGAGGGCCACGTGAGCGGAGGGCGTAGGGGGAGGTCTGCGATAGAAAGCGACCGGCGGCGCTAGTAAATCGAGCGCGGACGCCGTCAAAGGGGGAGGGGTGGTTCGGATCCAGGGTGGCCGAATGAGAAGGGAAAGTAAAGGGGGCGGGGTAGGAAAACCCTAAACACTAGAAAAACCCTAAGAAAACCCTAACCGAAGTTTGAGTGGTTAGGGTAGGGTACCGGTGACCTAATCAAGAAAATGAAATAGCAAGCATAAAGGTGTGAGGATTGAGCCCTCAAGAAGGGGCCTTGCCATGATGTACATGTTCTGGGCTAAGGCCCCCAGCAAGCCTCGTACCCGCCCTAAGTGAAGGCGGGCCAGCAAATCAACCAGAGCCCTCTGTGCAAACATTTCACGAAATGGAGTCCATACAGTTGCAGCACGCCACTTGGTTGGAGTGCACCGAGTATCGGAACTCTGCAAATGCAGAAATCCCAGGGCCCTAGAGTTGGTTGGGCCCTGGGCACATAAACGTGAGGCCGACAATGCATGCTGGATATAGAGGCCGAAAATGCCAATGGGAAACCGGTCCACTATCTGAATCTGGCCGCAGGCCTTGATGAAAGGGGCGCAACTGCATCTCCTGGGCCCCAACYGCATTGGGCCTGGKTACAGGYACTGGGGCCCAGGCGCAGGCTCAAGGGAGGCCGCCCACACGCAACACTGGCATATAGGCAGGGAGGGCGAGTGGGCAGGGATCTTGGCCAATGCAGGCATTGCGGGCACGYTGCTGCATTGTAGCGSTGCACTTGCGCYGYGGCTGAGGGAGACAKGCTAGCGCTARGYGGTAGAGTGCAGCCTGGGCGCAGGGMRYTGGCGGCCATAGYCGGGCTGCCTGTGGGCGCAGAGGAGGTGAAGGGCGAAGGTGGTTCTTCGGAGGYGAAGGGCGCTGTGTGGGATAACAAGGGAGAGTGAGGGTGAAGAGAGAGACGTACCTGGTGGAGAGGGGAGGTCGGCATTGGTGTTGACATCATCACTCGCTGGTCGTCAAGTTGTCTGGTTGCTTTCATGGTGTAGTTGTAGTGATAGGCTTTAGAGTAGGTAGGGCGCCTGGCGCCATTCAAGAGAGAGAGCTACATTGGGTTATGTTGTTGGTGTTGCCCTGTTGGTCTTGGACAATGACTCACAATTCTTCTGTATCATTCTCAAATGGATGGTTACTCGGTTCCATTGTGCTATCTGCTCTTGGTTTGACTACTTGGACTTCAGGGTGATTTTGCAATCTGGATTTCTGTGCTTCGTCCATATTCATGTTCCTTGCATTTTGGTATCGGAGCTGGTTTGATTCGCCACTTACCTTGGTGCGCTGGCGTTATACAGACTTGGTGCGTTGACGATGCTTCTTCGCAGTTGGTTGTTGTGACGTCAGGCCATATTAGGCGCACAGCCTGGGTAGAGAGGTGTGCGCCGGAAGGCTAAGACGACATTATGCCGTGGTGACAGGCGGAATGTATGATTGGTGATGAGAGCATGCTGATGTGGCATTCGGCTGAGGTGGCACTGCATTGCGTTGTGGGTGGTACCGAGGTCAAGACCGGTCATCAAATGCACACTCAGCTCAATTGGTGAGAAATCTGTGGTTGGGGGCAGCTATCTCCAGGTACATTGTTCCCTTACCTTATCTACTCTCTCAATCTCTTCTTACCGCGAGGAAGTGAGTCCAACTTGAGAGTCCTCTCTTTTGGTGAGGTGTCATGTGCGCGCTACCTTGAGAGACCACAATCTTCCCGGAAGCATCTGGAAGGAGAAAGGGCGGTGCCTTTGAAGGGCCCTGGTCGAAGCACTGGGTCACGGTCACCATGCCAACCCAATGGGAGTAGGTCACACATGCGATGGCTGCTTGTCCATTGTGGCACTTTGCTGCGCTATAGAAGTCGTGCCTGGTGTGCCAGCCCATAAGAGACGCTTACCAGACCGTCTATAAATACTTCTGGTTGGGGACTCGGTGTCGATACTGGCTGTGATCGTCGTCCTGACTGCGACGTTAAATAATTCCTGCGGAGATGGGGGCTCTCCTTAAATCCCTCCTGATCAGCCAGATCACACCGTGTAGTAAGGCTCGTTTCGTACGAGGGTAAATAAGAGTGGATGGGCTGGCTTGCTCGACAATGACTTGGGGCACAAGGGTGGGCCGACACAACACACGAAGACACTGCTGCTCAAAGATGCTTTTCGGTATGTTGGATTGAGGGGAGGGTAGGTTCTAATTGGTGCTCAACTGGAAAACACAACCATACCCATTGTTCATACATCTGCAACATAGTCTTGTTCTTATTATTGATTAGCTGGTTGACGGACTGCTAACACCTCACAGACAGTTAGTATAGGACTGTTGTATGCTACCATAGCCAGTTCTGTGCAAAACTTATGTAAGTAAACTAATCAAGATAGAACTAACTATGTTGACAGTCTTTTGTGAATGTTGTAGGCTGCGACTTGATCGGTCAAGTAGGGGACCTGGCGGACACATTTATTTTTAGAAAATTAGGTGTCGGTCAGACACATGCTGTGGTAGGACTCCAGCAGGGAGTTGTAGTGCAGACAGTGTTTGCCTAACTGATGAGTGGGTCAGACACCGATGAGGGTAGAGTTGACAATGCGAGACTGATACGTTCGAGATCACTTAGGGTCCCGCACGTGTTCTAGACCCTACAACCAGGAAACGAAACTCGGCTTCGTGCCGAACGTAGAGCCCGTTGTCGGGACTGGTGAGTCTCGAATAACTTCCCGTCACTCAAGAGACTGTATATGGCCAATTTGTGCACGGCAGAGAAAACCGGAGGCAAGAAGGAGGGAAGGATCGAAGGCATAGGCACAGGCACTAGGAACCTGGAGGCTGCCCAAAGTCGTTGGGACCATTGAACCAAGAAGAAATCGACGGAACGGGAGGCGGCAAAGGACTACAAGAAAATGGCAAAAGCGACCCTTCCCCCGAAAAAGAAGGAGGACCGCCGAAAGAAGTAATGTCGTAGGACGCGCGCCACAAGGAAAAGGGAAGGGAGACAACGACAGGTGAGGTACCGACACATGAAGATGTAGCCCGGACCAAGGAGGGCCACCGGGATGCGACGCCGAGAGGGCGAAGGGGGCCACAAGCCAAGTGAGGGCCCGCACCCGGGGAGGACGGTGCGCGGGACGCAAGAAGACACAAGGGAAGGAGGCTGCCAGGAGGCAAAAAAATGGCAAGAGTGTCAACAGGACCGCCGGCGGTACGAGGGGTAGGGTGCTCACTGATCGTGCGAGGTTGATTCAACTGATTGACAATTACGTGGAGAGGACAATTCGTCCAGTCATTGCAACTGCGAGGCTTATTACGGAACCCAGGCTTCGGAGGGGAGTGTATAGGCAGGTGCAGATCATTCTGGGACGCATATCGAGAACACTACGTTTTCTGAGGACTAGGAGGATTGAACCTGCTGAGGTAGAGGAGATAGCGGAGATTTGGGGAGTGTGATCGCATATCACGATGTATACCAATGGAGGTAACAACAGTGGTAACATGAACGCAGGCGGGATGAGTGGGAACGACAACAACAGAAATTGGGGAGGCCGGCAAGGCGGTCCAGTATGCTACGAATGTGGGAAGACCGGGCACATAGCCCGCGATTGCTGGTCAAAACGGGGTAAACCGGTACAGCACGAGGACGAGATACACGTCTTCGTACGTGACCTGATGAAGGAAAAAGAAGAGAAACGGAAACGGGAAGAGGAGGAAGAACGACAACGGGCGAAAGAAGAAAAGGAGAGAAAACGAGAGCTGGATATGGCTCGGAGGACAGAGGAGATCAGGATGCAATTACAGGCAGAGATTGCGGAAAAATGGAGAAGACAGCAAGAGGAGGTTGCAGAGAAGACAAGAGGAACCAAGATGGAGGTGAAATGTACCAGCCCGAATATCTCACCGGACAGCAAAACAGCAATGAAGACAAAGGAGAGGAAGAAGAAGGCGAAGAAGTCGACGAGGAAGCAGAAAGGGAAGAAGAGGATTCTTGCGTCTTCTTCGAGCTCGTCAGAATCAGGGGAAGAAAGCAGCGAATCAACATCTGAGGACTCGTCAGACACAAAAGGAGAGGCACTACGCTTGGTCAAGCTATTACGAGAGAAGAAACAGAAGGCGAAGTCAAGTTGCAAGCAGACAAAGAAGAAAGACACTAGGAGAACGCCAATGAGGACATACGAAAAGGGAGAGTCGTCAAAGCGGGCTACGATGCCAGGTTCTCCGACGAGGACAGGAGGGCTCGAATCCAGAACTCCACTTTCTGTCGGATACAAGGGTGTTAGTGCAGGCTGCTCACAAGAAGGCTTCGTCGATTATACATTTGCAGTTTTGAAGCAGTACTCTACGAAGAAGGTACCAGACCTCAGAGAAATGTGTGACAAGTATGGGATCAAGGTGACGTTATTGCTAGGACTGGCCGGAGAAATCAAGTGGATGGATACATACATCGACAAGCTCGAAGTTAGTGAGGACACTTTGTATTTGAAGACCGGAGGAACATACATCATCATGAGCCCATGGTCCAAACGAGCCTATGTCGGCTACACAGCGCGACCGATCATTCAGAGGTGGAAACAACACGTACTTGCAGCCAGATCGAAGTCACTAGGCAAGTCGCCACAACTCTATCGATGGATGAGACAATTCGGGATTGACAATTTTGTGATCATACCGATCAGACATACAACAGAAGCAGACGACTACGCGTTCGAGAGGCATCTGATTCGCGATCTTTCATCGAGCCTCAATACGCTTGGGACAAGAGCACGGGAGGCACGGAGATCACGACGACGGAAGGGCAGGCGAGAGAGGAAGAACCGGGGTGATAAGAAGGGAGGGAGAAGAGTGGTCAAATTTGTCACTAACGACGGACCACGAACGTCGTTACTGAACTGGCTAGACGAGTTGCAAGAGAAGAAGATAGGACCGTGCGAAGTGGAGATCGTGGCAGGGACGAGTTGGGGTGATGATTGGAAGACGATCGTCTCAAAGTACCGTGAGACCAGGGTGCGATTACAAGGACAAATCATATTGCTAAGGATGCGAAGAATACATGCCAGCTTGGGGGGAAGTGTGTTTTTATGAAGATAGTGAGGACCACGACGAACACAGAAAGACACAAGATCACGCTGAGATGACTGTTGAGCCAACCACGGATGGCGACTTCGCTTGTTAGATACACCACCAGTAAACTCGTGGGGTTGTACAGAGCAGCGGGGATGTTTGCAAAGAAAGAGACGAGGAACATACTAAAGGTAAAGTTAGATCGTGCACTGAGAAAGAAGACAGGAGTGAGTGTGTGGCGGAAGCTGACAGTCAAGTATCCATACTGTAACACGATACTCAAGTCTGAAGTCAGAAGGAGTGTGGAATAGATCATTGATGCGAGAGTTGTCGATGCTGCGGTTGCCACTTTTGTGAAGCGGAAGGTCAGGATTGTTAATACGAAGAACCGGACCGTGGCAGAAATCATCCATACGCACAGGAAGTATGCATACACACTTCCTTTGAGCTGCACATGCATGAACCATGGGTTAACAAAACATGACGGGCATGTAATGACAAGATTCGCGGATATGCCTCAAGTTCCGGTGTTCCTCAAGAATTCGAGAAACATAACGGTTTGTGGAAAACCGAAGATCAAGGAGGAATTAACCAACGGGATAATGACAGCAACTAGATATTTGAAGCATGGGACTGAGACACCGGTAGATGTTGTGCGATGCTTCACGGCTAGCACGACCAAGAGGATGACGTGGACCGATTATGAGGTAAGGAGTTGGGCATCCCAGTATGACAGACTCGTGCTCGCTCCAATAGATAGAAATATTGGAGATACGGCGGTAGTATGTCCGATACTGTATAGACATGGCTTTGGGAGCATGTTCACGTGGAATTCTGATTACAGGAGGGTGGATAGTACGAAGGAAGAAGTTCTGCATGGTGCTAGGAGGGAATATGAGATAGCAGGTTTGGGGAAGATTGGAAAGTGGAGGACGGAAGGACGACTTGGGAGGACATATATTATCCCGAAAGACAAAGATCTACGCAAGTGGAGACCTATCGCACCGGCATGCAGTGACCCGGCGATACTAGGACAACGCCGGTGTGCTAGGGCACTGTACTGTTTTGTTTCCAGATACGAGCGACGTTCGAATTTTCATTTGAACTCGACGTATACTCTGAGACAAGAACTGTTGAACGTAGGAGACGAGCTGAGGACGGAAGGGTGCAGCAGGGCTATCGACAAATGTTATGATATCAAGGAGATGTTCTCCTCGATACCACACAATACAGTCAGACAGGCAGTTTTTGAACTCCTCAGGCATTTTGAGGACCAAGGATGGCAGCAGGTAAAGGTAGCCACGAGAGGAAAACTTTGTGTCATGTCTAAGACAGACAGAAAGGAGGCGGGGTATATCAAGGTGAGAATTCCAGATATCCTGAAGATGGTCGAGTTTGACCTTGAACACGCATATATGTGCCGCGGAGAGGTTATTGCGTTCCGACTATGAGTCCAGTGTTGGCTACGATTACATGCACAATGGCAAAAGTTAAATTCTTACGATCACTTGGGGCTGATGTAAGCTTGTGAGGGGGTGGAGGATGGTAGACGATGTTTCGATAGTAGTCGGATGTAGCGATGAGACTGTCTCGTGGGAGAAAGCGGAAGGCATTCTTGATGAGTTTGAAGACTCCTATGACCAGAATCTGAAGCTCGTTAGGAAAGACGAAGGCATGAATACTTAAGACTTTATTGGGGGACAGATGTATATCATCAGTGAGCCACTGCAGCTGCATTTCATCCAGGAAACGAAGAACACCGTTTCACTACGTAACAACGGGACATTGCGCTACCAGTCCATGCAGGACTTCAACAATTACTCTGACAAGAAGTCCAAGAAGGGAGTTTTGACGGCTACTTTGAAGAGGCTCTGGCACTCTTCAATGTCTGGTGCACTATGTATTGGCTCTATTGTGTACGCGCTGCTTGAGAGCAACCTCCGGGGATATACCCCGGAGGTCTCTCTCGGGGCCTTGGCCAAGTTGGCCAAGGTTACGGGGGAACCAATGCTTAGGACTCTGTGGGAAATGCTTCGGATTTTGTTTACCGGAAAAGTCGGGCTCGAACACACGACCTACGATGGGAGACAGTTACCAGGATCACGAGCCGGAAGGAACACTGTGATCCGAGCAACAGGACAGGCTGTAACCGCCCGATAAAAGACGAACACATGTATCGGGCCTACAAGGAGCGCCCGGTAACACGGCGGGTTTCGTTTTCGTCTTTGCTTTCGTTTTTGAGTTTGCTTTCGAATCTGGCTTTCGAGATTGTTGTGGTGCAGATTTTTGGTCCGTACGACGCCGATTTTGATGGAACGACGGAGTCCAGACGATCCTAGGTTAGATATAGGCGGGTACGGAAGACTTGCGCCTTTATCTTTTGTTTTAGTAAGAGGATTTAGTTTTTGAATTACCTCGGCCTGTTCCGGGGCCGCGGCTAGAGTTGGTCAGGTAGTTCATGGGAAGGACGAAAGGCATGTGCCTTTATTTCTTGTATTTCTTGTATTTATTTATTTTATTTTATTTTATCGTACATACGGGACTCAGCCAGCCGATCCATAGGGACTTAGACAAGAGTAGGAGATAAAAGGTCGAGAGGCAAGGCACTCGGCCTCTTTTCGATAGAAGCGTCTTACTGGACGTACCTTCCTGATGATTCTATGCAGAGGGATGAAACCGGTAGAGGGGCTGCGTTGTCGAGATTCTGGGAAGCTTTCGGCTATGGTGGCGTATAGGAGTCCAGGCATGCGTGATGTGAATGGATGGATATGGACTTTGGAAGTTGAAATCGCCGTGGCAAGGCTTTAAGTATCTGAGTATTAAGTCTCTCTTGCTATGGCATTTTGTTCAGAGCTTTGTCTTCGATTCTAAATGTGCATGTACTTGACACTGTGAGCTACTGTGCTCTTCCCGACAGACTGTTGCTGTAGTTTGCCACTCTCTCTCTCTCTCTCCGCAGTCTCTCTCTCTCTCTCTCTCTCTCTCTCTCTCTCTCTCTCTCTCTCTCTCTCTCTCC